AACGCTAGAAAAGTTCTTCCAATAGCTCCCTTTTCCCCAGACCTTAAGGAAAATTCCAATAATTTTAAAAAAGATTCTAAAATTTCTAAAAACTCTCAAAATCAGGAAAAATTTCTCAAGCAACAAGGACTTGACAAGTGTTTCCAGAATTTCAACAGAGTTCCCAAAAATTCTGAAAACTTCGATGGAGTTCGCAGAACTTTAACGGGCTCGTCACAACTTCTTCGGCATTTGCAGAGCTTTTTAAAACTTGAATGAATTCTTCAAATTTATAGAACTTTTGTAAAAGTAAAAATTCCTAGAATTTCAGAAATTTTTTGCCGAACTTCTGGGCTGTGTTGAAACATACAGAAATATTTTAAGAACTCCAGGAAAATTATGTAAGTTTAAGGAAAGTTCAGCAAATGTTTAGAAAGTTCTGCAAACTTTCTGTGGCAAATAAGTGAACTTCAGGGAATTCTTTGAACGTGAAGAAAGTCTACGAACTTTAAAAAACTCTACTTGATTCCGGGAAGTCTGCGAACTACGGTAAAGTCTGGGCTTACTGCAGGAAAATTATGTGATCTAAAAAAAAATCTGTGAATTCCAAAGAAGACTGTAAACTTTATCAAAGTACTACTCAGGGAAATTTAGTAAACTTCTAGAAAGCACAGTATGTTTTGGAAAGTTTTGTGAACTTACAATACGGAGGCTTCCAGGAAAATTCTGCGAACATCAGGAAAGTTCTGAAAACTACAGAAAAGTTCTTTGAAGTGCAATAAAATTGAGAAAAAAATAAATTTGGAATTAGGAAAGATTTGCGATCTTCTGAAAAGTTTTGCAAATTCCAGGATAATTCTGAGACTTTCAGAAAAATCCTGTGAACTTTGGGAAAACTCTACAATTTTTTAATAACATTTCTGGAACTTTATAGAAGACAGCCAACTTCAGGAAAGTTCTGAAAACTTCAAGGAACTTTTGCGAACTTCATATTAGGTGAAAAAAACAACGAACTTTGATCATGAAAAATGTGATAACAACATCAAGTCAGGTTGTCCTATCAAGCAAAATAATCGCATATCAGTCCCATCCTGAAATTCAACCGTCCATATTTGAAGTTGCAGTTCTGCTTTTCGAATTACCACAATTTTCACTGATATTGCAAAACGTGCAAGCTTCAATGCAACTAATTTTTACTTTAAGAAGTAATCAGTTCATTTACTATGATTTGATCAGTATTGGAATTCAAATTCACAGCTTTTTCGGCCATTTTCTCAATGCCTCTTTTTTCCTTATAGGACTGGTATGCAATTATAGGCAGTGCGCATCCTGACTGGTTTTACAAGTAGAATTAGTTGCGGAACAATGTGGGTGTTTTTCGACCCAAACGCACTATTCAATTGACAGTATCTCAGGAAACCTAAGCTCAATGATCTTGAAATTTGGTGAGTTTTCCTAACTTTTGGATTTGAACCTTCTGGTGAAGTTACGGGATTTTAGGTGCATGTTAAGTTGCCCTCGGGTCTTTTTAGACCCAAGATTGTTATTGCTATAAAATGGTCATTTTCGCTTAGATTCTCAATCTACTTTTACGAATGGTAAGATACATGCTCCATTTTGCCAATTTATTTACAATTTATCCGGATCTTCCGTGGGAACATCATGTGGCCATGGGAGGATAAAATGCTGATTGCACTTCGTAAACAACTCTTCATGCAAAATAGGAGCCGCTTCGAAAAAAATCGTAGAATTGGAAAAAGAGTTTATCAAATTGATTACTTTTACGGATATTCTGGATTTTCCGGGGGACCAGCGTGTGGCCGTGGTAGGTTCATATGCTGATTGCACATCGTAAACAACTTTAAAGCACACTAGAAACCGGTATGAAAAAAATCGTAGAACTTTAAAACGAAAAGATTGATCACATTCACGGATGATTGCACTTCGTAAATAACTTTTTGAAGCACAGAAAGTAAATTTATGAAAGTTTTTCGAAGCTATAAAATGAGAAATGAGAAATAATTTTGATGAAATGATTATTTTGACGGATGTTACGGACGAGTTTCCGGATCTTCCGGGGGACCATGATGTGGCCATCGGAAGTTCAAATGCTAATTGTACTTCGTTGTACTTTTCAAGCACAATAAGAACCGGTTTGAAAAAAATACCGAAGAACTGTGAAACGAGTTTATCAAAGTGATCACTTTTACGGATGTTCCGGATCTTCCGGAAGACTGAACTGTGACCATGATAGTTCCAAATACTGGATGCACATTGTAAATTAGTTTTGAAACACAGTAGTAAACTATTGAAAAAAAAAACTACAAGGGACAGCCCTATGGGGTTGTGCGCATTGGTGACGTAGGACTACATGGTCTTATATAATAAATGTTAATTGTTAGCTGCAGCAGGAGCTTGTGTTTTGTGTAGGAATAGGAATTAGAGCGGAGTTCCCTCTGTTTATACTCTTTAGTATGACTATGATTGCCCTGCAAAGAATCTCTTGATATGAATTTTAGTTGGGACATGTTCAGAAATTTAACTCGTTTGGAAAATCTTCGTGGCCCTTGAAAGGGATGATGACGTGTAGGCAGCTGGATCTGCAAATTGGACCGGACAATCCCATATCCTTCGGTTCAATGATTGGGCACTCACAAGAGTCTCGGCCCTTTAGCTGCTGGTCAGGGGTTGAACTGATGTCTACGACATCTTGGAAGGCCGCAGCGTCCGCCCATCTAAAGCTCCTCCCCTATTGACGTAGGACTACGTCTTTCAGGGAAATGCAACGAAAATTGGTCAGACTTCAAATGCTAATAGTTTGGCCAATAATCAATGGATTTTGATGATTTGTATGTCGATCGATTCACCAGTGTTATAAGATATGTGTGATATTGCACACATTATAATTGGTAAAAAAATTTATTGTTATCAATGAAGAAATAAGGAAATATTCAAATTTCCCATACATTTTCTTCGACTGCAAGGTGCTCTCCCCTAACACAGCCATCAGAAAGTTGATCCCTAACGACACAAGCCGCACAATCATTCAACGTTGCACGTTGGACGGTTTGACCTCGGACTTGTTCGCTGCAGCGTGGACATCATAGCATTTCTAGCAGCTCAATACATACACCTCACAAACCAGACCCAGACGCAAATCTGTCCAGGGAAATGGAAACGCTGCACTTACCATCGTGAGCTCCGCCACCATGGTCCGTGGGTTATCTTTGCCGAATATGGACCTTAAATTCCGTCGAACATCCAGCTCATCGGAGTAACTGTGATCCGTCGATATCAGAAGAATTCGAACATTGCAATCAGTAGGAATTGTACAATCTATCAGTCACCCATACAAACGTAGTGAAAACTGCTGGCCTTGAATAAATCTCAACATAAGAGTTCTAGTTTATTGTAAATAAAACTGAACCGTCCTCAAAAGTGCAAAACTTGCGCGATTAGCTTGTATCGTTTTGATGCGTTCGGCAAGAAAGGAATAAGCTTCGTGCGTCAAAGATACCGATAAACGATTTTGACAGAATTTACACCTACCAGAATGTGTTCCAGCCGGAATGCAATTTGTATTTGTGTGAGCGCACGTCCGGTGTTGTGTGAATACTCCTCAAAAGCGCAGTTTTACAGCTCACCTCGCTGCGAGTTACCATGTCACCACACCTAACGATTCTTCGGTGATGATGATTATCGAGAGAACAGAGGGACGAGCCGGTGCCACTCAATACTTAGTAGCATTTTTTTTTCTATTTTTTCTATTAATTCACCTACATCAGCAAAATACAAAAAAAAGCAGGGGCATAGAATGCTAATCTAAATGCTTAAGTAAGGGAAACGTAGAAAAGTTGACTTCAGTTATCGTTTGATTGCCGAGTGATAAACAGGAGTGTTCGTTGCGTTGTACATTGAAAACGAATCTTAGATGATGTAAGAAAAGGTACCGGGAAACCTTGTAACCGCCGAGAAGTGGTAGCTGCTCCGAAAATTCCTTCCATTTGACCATGATGTCTTCAGATACTTGATCGTCCCATCCTGTATTTACTATCCAAAGTTGCTGCATCCGAATCTTGGCCCATGCTACGACCGGAGACACCAATCAAAGTGGCTCTACCTTGCAATCGCCGAAAAGATCTTCCGTTTTGTCCAACAACCGTCGTTGATAGGTGGCTGAACTTCGATGCAAAACTGGTCTGGTTCTATCTCCCACCCCACTCCGCGTGTTTTGATTTTTTGCGGTTCTTCGAAATGCAGCGTGGATTCCATTCCCAACGAGTCGGTTGGCATGTTGTGTAGTACTTCCACTCTGTTTGAGCACCATTTTCGAAGTTCAAGACCTCCTTCTTCCATCATAGCTTGTACCTCCCTTTGTAGTTTGATGGCTACTTCCAGAGACTCGGCTCCAGAGAGAAAATCATCCATATAAAAATCGTCCTTCACAGCGCTAGCGGCAAGCTTGTATTTGTTTTCTAAGTCCTGAGCCAACTGCTTCAACACCCGCGTAGCGAGAAACGACGATGGAGCCAAACCGTAGGTGACGGTCTGCAGCTCATACACTTGAAGTGGTTCCGGCGGTACATTTTTGCGACATCAGCGACTAGAGCAACAGGGTTTTTCCGAAAGCGAAGCATCAAATCTAACAGTTCATCCTGAATATTGGGCCCAGAGAGCAGAGCGTCGTTGAGCGAACAGTTCGTGGATGTTTTCGCCGACCCATCGAAGACAACCCGTACTTTTGTGGTCGAGCTAGATTCCTTAAACACCGGATGATGCGGAAGATAATAGACTGTTTTGTCTTCATCCAACCGAACGTCATTGGCCATACCGATGCATTTCATGTGCCCTAGGTCCAAATACTCCTGCATAAAATCCACGTAATGCTTGCGTAGAGTGGGGTCACGGTCCAGCCGTTTTTCTGTATGAAGAAATCGCCGTAAAGCCGCTTGTTTCGATTCTTCAACCATGCTGTGTAATTCCATGCGTTTAGGATAACGACTATGTACCTGCCACTACCGTCACGCTTTCCTGTCCCGCCTTGGTAGCCGGAGTAGCTTGCAGAGATTTTCAGACATCAGGTTAGCTTGCGATCCAGAATCCAGAAGTGCCCTTGCGAGATTAATCCTTCCCCAAATATCCTTGACATTCAGCAGAACCGTTTGCAGAAACACGTGCGATTTTGGCTGTCCCATCGAAAGATTAATTGCAATTGATGCCGCCGAACTAGTAACCAAACCACCAGAGTTCGAAGCACCACCCGATGTTGATGGAACAGGTGAATCATCGTTGTCATTCACTGCTGGGGTAGGAGCAGAACCAGAACCAGGAAAACCAGGGTGGAGCAGTGAATGATGCTTCTTTGAGCAAGTCTTGCACCGAAATTTGGAAGGACAATCTCGAGCCAAATGATTTCTTCCTAGACAGTTACTACAGAGCCGCTTGGAGTTGGTAAGCTGCAGCCTTTTGTCAATCGGAAGTTTAGCGAAAGTTGGACACCGAGTGATCCAGTGCTTATCGCTACATGCGAAGCAATCCGATGGAACCCTTTCGGTCGCCGAGTTGATCGAAACCTTCGATGGACGAGATTTGAAACTATTGTTGGTCGATGAACCAATGGGAGCGAAGATATGTTGATCCACAGAAACTGCATCCAAAACACGAGTTTGCTTCTTGAGAAACAAGACCAGCGACGGAAATGATGGCTCCTCTTCAGACGTAACATTCTCCTCCCACCGCATCTGAGTCACCTCGTCGAGCTTCGAGACCATTAAGTGAACTAGCATCGCTCCCCAACCGTTCGACTTCTCTCCTAGTTGGTCCAGAATTTTAGTGTTCCGTTCAAAACAATCGATGAGATCGTGCAGTGTTGCCGCTGATTCCTTCTTCATTCTTGGACACTCAAACAACGCATTCAAATGCCGCTTCTTGAGAAGGTAGTTGTTGGAGAACCGTGAGACCAAACCATCCCAAGCAACCCTATAGTTAGCCTCGCTCATCGAATAGGAATCAATCAGCTTCAAAGCATCACCCTTGAGTGAAGCGCGCAAGTAGTGGAACTTCTGTATGTTGTTCAACTCTGTAGAAGAATCGATCAAGGCAACAAACGTATCGTGGAATGGAAGCCAGTTTTGGAAATTACCATCGAACTCAGGTAGATTGATTTGAGGAAGTCGCACGGAAGCTTGCACGTGAGAGGTGTTAATAGGAACTGTGTTTTGTGTTGCATGCTGTTGTGGTAATTTACTCGCCAACCCTGCCCTTACCTCAAAGTACTTGTCCTCGAATTCTGCCCTCAGCTGCTGGTGCTCCTTCATGTTCTCCTCGTTTTCCTCCATGCCCTCAATATCGTTCTGAAGTTCCTCGAATTCAGTCCACTTCGCTTCAAGTTTCTCCAGACGTATCTTGACTTGTTGAGCGTTGAACTCCTCGGTGTCGTGCAGGAAGCTTTCCAAGCGGATCACAAAGTCAGCAACGTTGTCCCTACTGCCCAACAGGGTCTTGAGTTTCTTCGACATGTCGTGGACGAAGAAGGATATCCAGGAGTCGCTAAACTTGAATCGATGACGTCACGATGGAAAAATCCAAATGTGAGCACGTTCTGAAAAGTCGACAAAAGCAGCACCTTCCAACCGAGAATACAATTTTTTGGACAGGAACTCACCTGGTGAGCCTGTCAATTAGGCCTTTAATTTAATTATAACCGCTCTAATCTGCTTGACTCGTTGATCAGTTCCGAACCATCCACGATAGTATCCAATGTCCAATAATTTACTCCCAAATGCACTTGAACGATTCGTGCGTAGTTTTGATCGTAATAACCACCGGAAACTCCGCCAAAGTAGTAAGAGACCAGGAACGATAAATGACCAGGTAGAGACGAAATTTGAAAATATTAAGATGGACAGGTCCTCACCTTGTAGGCCTATCTAAAAAGCCTTGTATTTTCAATTTATCTCTCCTGCATTCAATATCCACAAAAACGGTGATGGCGTGAAATCCATACGTGTACGCGCAAATCGTGATGGCAGCGCCCAATGATTTAGCGTGATCGCGACTTCGATGGCGGTTGGTCTTTTTGTACGATGGTCCCTTTGTACGATACCACAATGGTGTCTTAGCGTCGGCACGTCCCTTAGAACACTATCCTGGTCACGGCACCAATGTTGTGACCCTCCACTTAATAGTGTTCTCCAAATCCAAAATCAAACGCTGTAGACACTACGAGGTGATTCAAATACTATTTATTACTTTAACTACGACTTTATTACAAACTACATTAAAACACTAAATTCAAATTTCCTAGTGGCCAACCAGGCGCGAAAGCGGTTCGAACGGATCTAAAAACGGTCGATACAATTCAAATTTGGTTGGTTTCAAATCTTCTTCAGCTCGACTACAGTCGTGTATTCTATTCGTGTCTAGGAAGAGCTTTCGGTATTCTTGTAGTTTTTTAGCATTGTATACTGCGCCGTAAACTCACGCCTACCCTATCATACAAGCATCTTTCCCATTTGTGGCACAAACCTAACTAGTTCATATTTGACATACAAGCATCAACATCTAATGATCTAACATCACTTTTGCTCATTCTTATGAATAAATTTTTAAAAGCGTAAGTTACTCATACGCTGAGTAACCTACGCGGTAAGAAAATTTGGCATACAAATGAGTAAAAGTTAAACTCTCTGAGTTAGTTTCGTTTTCAGTGTACAACGCTATCGATGCGTAGAAATATTTCTGATCGATTGGTGATAAAATTATTAAAATTGGTCCAGGGGCAGCTGAGTTATTAACGTTCAAAATCTTTCATAATTGCGTTACATGTTCAATTTTTGGTTTTCACAAAGTGTACCCCCATATAGAAATCACAGACGTAGTCCTACGTCAAAATCGCAAAGCTTTACAATGAGTTTAATTAATGGACACCTTTAAGGATGTTCAGGATCTTCCGCAGAACCAGTCTGTGGCCCCCATATGGTCAAATATTATTCGGCAGTATCACAGTCAGTGTTCGGAAGAACTCAAAAACTCAAATCTCATGCATGAGTTTATGCGCCTATGAGTTTTACCTTGCAAAATTCAACGTCGCAAAAATCACCGATGGTTCAAAAATTCATTGCTTTACATTTGGCGTTATTCATTGTTATTACTATTGATTGTGCATCAGGGGTTGGAAAACTAACACAACATGCATAGGCATGACATCAATTGACGTTTGAGTGGTTTTTATGAGTTTAAAGCTGGAATGATTTTTCGGCGTTGTGAGTGTGAGTGCGTGAATATGCATGAGAATCTCAAGCGTGAATTTTGTTTGCCGCATTCGCACGCGAGTTTATTCTCGCAGAGAGGCTCAATGAATGAGATTTGAGAATTATTTTCCGAACACTGATCACAGTGGTCTAGTCATAGTTCAACGGTCAAGTTTAGTGTTCACTTCTACAGTAATTTCATCTCAGATTAACCAATTTCCATGCAGGTAGATTGATAATCTGAGTAAAAAATATATATTTATAGTGATAAAAATCTTGACCCGAAGGCGAGATTGCAGCCTTTTTTTCAATACCGTCACCAGGTTAAGCGGTGGTTTCTTGGCATTTCAGGAAGTCACAGCGAAAACTCCGTCCATTACAGGAACTGTCGACGAACTGTGGGTTTTTTTTCGTTATGAATTTCGAAATAACTAACTTCGGCTTCTATGCGCACCATCCCTTTGAGGGACTCAATTCGGTTGAATCGTTGAATAGTTCCTGACAGAAACGTGAGATAGCAGCTCTTCTGAGCTGATTCGCCGGAACCGGTTTGCCTAACTAATGGGGTGTTTACACTTATGCTATTGCACTAGCGCTAATGAGCTAGCTGCTAGCACACAAGCTCACTAGCATCATGTAAACAGGGCATCAGCGTCTACCAGCATGAAATTTCAGGAGCAACTGAAATTCGTGCTAGCTGGCGAGTACACTAGCGCGAGTAAATCCGCACAGATGTGTAAACACCCCATAACGGAGGAATATTTGGTTGGGAACTGGCTGGCTAGCTGCCTCTGTCGATGAACATTTGAAAATAACCCATGAAAAGGCCATAATCACGCGAATCACACTATGCCCAGGAAAACCAAGATCACTATTGAAAAGAGGAGAATTTCACCTACCCTATTGACGTAATTGGGCGTAATTCGGTTCGCGTGAACTTTTCTAACGGAATGCGTTCATGTGTTCACTCGGCACCACTCAAACGTCAAATTTTTTCATGAGTTCATTCCGTGCATTGGCCTCTGTGAGGCACGTTTAGAGATCTTGAGGTAACAGTTCTGTTGGCCGAAAGTAAGAACATTCAACCAATATGAACACTAGAGATCAGGGTTAATTCTAAATGTGATTCCTTTTAGAGTCGAAAAATGGCCACGTAGACTATACATATATGCACTTCCACTTCGAATTTTCAATTACACCCATCTCGGAAATTACTGTCCCATTTCACCTGAAATTTTTACTTCATGTATGCTGCAGTTCAGCAAACGTGGAGTAACAGTTTCATTGTGGTACGTATGGTAGAAGCTGATATTTGTGCTCTTAAAATTTCGAAGTGGTTACGAGAGTAAGGATCTCACAGCGAAACACCTTAAGGCTCGCCTAGTCGCCAAAATTAATTAAAATGAATTCTGACTCATAATGCTAAAGGAGATCATCCTCACCGCTTCAGCAAGCCTCTAGCATTAACTTATATAACTCATCTATGCTGACTATGAATATCTCATCATTAAATATTCCCATCGTAACACAACGATCCAAACTAAAATAATTTGCCCACCAGTGTACGCCACTAACTGCTTCCGTTGCCACCGCTACACCCAGTGAAACTTCCATTTCTGCGGTGCAATTTTCACGGTCCTCGCTCCGCCCAACCGCTGTCGTCAACTTCAAAGCCCTTCCTAATGATGTGGTTTTATGCAGAGAGGCAACGGCCGGCCGGTGATGAAGCACAAAACAATCCCGAAAAAACATCTTAAGAGTAAATGAAACCATAACAACGACTGCCGTAGAGCATATGAATGAACAGGAAAAAAAAAGAAGTAATATTCGGAGGCTGTGAACGAAGCAAATCTCCGCTCCGGTTTTGTCTGTTAAAGCAGAGCAAGCAAAAAAAAAAGAGGTGAAATAATTATATTACGATGATGAAATCCTCGCCTCCCACTAACGGCGGCCGACCGGCTGAAGCGTGCATGAAGAGAGCGAGGGAAAATCGTCTGCGCGCCAAGAAGGAAATGTGAATGGAAGTGTTGAAAAATGTGAAAAAGCCTTGTGCAGTGAAGCAGACGAAGAAGAGTGCGTCGCGGTGGGACGGAAGGGAAATAAATATGATTGACAGAGCGAGTGTGTTGCAGCCGGAGAAAATTAACATATGTTCAGAGATTGTGAACGATGATGTTATATTGCTGTGTGTGTGTGAGTGTGTGTTAACCGATGTTGTTCCAAGAAAGGGAGAAGAAGTGATTGTTTTGGCATCGTTGATTGAGTTGAGCTTTGACAATATTCCCCAAGAATCATGAAATCAGTATCCGCAACCAAGGAAAAATCGAAGGAAATCACATTCAAATTAATGAATACATTACCCCATGAGTGAAATTTTATGCGTTGGCAGCACTCAAGTGTGTGCGAAATCAGATAAGGAACCTAAAGTGCACCTCTTGGCGATTCAAACAAAAACGAAAACGAAAGGGAAAACTTCCCATTTTGCCCCACAGTGAGCGCTTAATCGACATTGCAATCGAGCAGAAAGCCCAGACGAAATGCCACGGTAAATATGATTTCAGTGTTTTAATTAACTACCCTTTCATTCATACGAGAGTGGGGGAAATGCGCATCGAACGAGAGCGAGACCAATATTCCTCGGCGTCATTTTCGTCTTTTGACCTCCCCGTGGGAAATGTTCGCAGAGCACTACTACTCTCTGCAAGAGGCAGTTCGATGAACTGCTTTTTGTATTACCCCCCTTCCCCGCCGGAGTGTCTTAAGTTAGAGTACGTTCGCAACTCATTGAGATTAAAACACCACCAACAAGTCACTTACATCATTCATTCGGAACATTGAGAGCGGAACAAAACAAAAACCGAGTGGAAAATAGTTTGATTTAATCATCTTCATGAGGCAAATCCCGAGCGGGTGGGAATGGCTTTCAATTTCATGCATCATTTTTCGTTCAGTGTAAGTGCAATTAGCTGGCTGCAAACCGGTCTTTCTTTTCGCGTCGCTTTTGTTCAATTACAAAGCTGATTATCCCGGGCAAATATGATGCTTCGGTTGATACAAGCATATCAATGATAGTGAATCGCAGTCAATGTACGCGTTTGAATTGCGGTTCTGTTTTCTGAAAAAAAAACGTAGCGCGATGTAATCGATATGCAAATGTGTCAATGTTTGCATTAAGATTCCATATTGCGAAGCAGAATAATGGTAGATAAACTGCGCGATATTACATGCTTGTTTCGAACGACCGCCGGTTAACTTCAGTGTGCGGTTGGGTAAATTACATTACGGGATTGCAAATGTGTTAAATGGCTACTTAAATAGATAACGATTACTTTGCTGTTTTTTTCCTCTGTTCGGGACCTAACACCACTGCGACCAGTAATTTGATCTATTGTAGTATATCCCGTGTCCTTAGTTTAGTGCATGTCGTATTGCTCCATCACTATTGAGAAATGATGAAGTATTCGATTTTTTTACAGTTGTCATTCTTGCATTTATCGCAAGGATCCGGCTCTAATTGAAAGGTCCCACTATGTATACCCTTCGGAGTGTTGGAACACCCTCCAAAGGCGCGCCCCTTTGTCAGTCAAAATTAGATTCCTTAGCAACAAAATTAAGGAATGACACCGATTATGACCATGCATCAGAACCCTAGTCTCAACCACTTCAAACTAGGGAACAACGGATAGAAGATTAGGAATCACATAGATGAAGACTAACTAACTCATTTTCCCTTGTTTCAAGATCATCCTCGGTGGGCAAAACCGAGTCTTGTCACTATCAGCAAGGCATAAAAAGTAACAAGGACTAAGATGTGTTCCTTTGATTACTGAAAAATGCTGTTCCCCAAGTTTGAAGTAGTTAGGAC